TTAATAGAAACGTTAATTTTCTAACTAAAAAGTCCCCTTAGTACTAATCTTGCTTAAAGTGGACCTATCATGCTATATTTGAATATTATAAAACGGACAAGTCAAATCAAGCAATCTGATTGGTTCTTAGTCGTGATATACTGGTAGAATTGTAAGTTACTTTTCACAACAAGTCAGTATCCCTCCGCGTCTGAGAAAAACAGTATACCGTTGGGGTTTCATACTGGAACAAGAAAGCAGACGGGGCAGAAACCCTCCTTTTTACGCAGCGGTCCAGACATAGACATCAAACGGCAAAACATATTCAGTGTGCAGTTCCTTTGGCATCAGGGCAGGGATATCTAGATACTTTCCAAGGTTTGACATAATGAATTGAGCTACTTTTAAAGCAAGCAGCGATGTTTTCAAATCTGTAATCAAAGAGGTCCGCAAAAACACTATCGGCCAATCAGATTGCTTGATTTGACTTGTCAGTTTTATAAATATATTTACATTTCTTCCGTTACGAAACAAACTTACAAAGCTTAAAATGGAAACATTTAAGGTTAACTTCGACCTCCGGGGGGGTCTTACTATGGAGGAGTGGATTGAGGAGTGCCTATCTCCAGAAAAAAAAAGCACCTAAATGACGGCATGCAGAGCTACGTGAAGAGCAGGTTGTCTGTTGAAATCAATAATCAGTTTGTGCAGTTTTAGACACAGTAATCGTTGTCCAGAGCAGACCAACCCCAACCGATTAGAAACCCCTTGTGAGAGTTGTTTAACATAATTTCGAAGCGATCCCTAGTGCAGTTAAAATGCAATGAGAATATACACCGACCCAATCCCTATGTTTTTGGTTTTGGCAAAACATGAAACAATCCCTTTTTTTCACAGATTTTTTTGGTTCTGCCAAAACATAGGGATTATAAGCTGCCTACGCAGGCATTTGTTTAGATCAAGACAGATTAACAACCAATGCTTGTTTGACATCTCGCCTGAAGATAACATGTAGAATATACTAAATGAAGTCCATAAAAATAGTGACGTTTGTAGACGCAGGGTTTTCACTGTTTCTGTTTATAATTTTCTAATGCAACATTTTCAACCAATAAGAAAGGCTTCTGAAAGTACATTTCCTGGTCCACCTCCTATGTACATGCAGTGTTTCCCACAGAATTTGATTCTAGTTGTGGGGGCAAATAGAATCAATGTGCCCCCCCCCCCCCCGTCAGCAAGAAAATCCAAAGGCCCCTTAACCTATTCGGGTGGCCCACGCATCCACCCTCAAATAAGAAAATACATGCGAGTTCATGGCTACTGTAGACAACGTTGTTGTTGCTCTGTGTTTCGTTGTTAATGAGTGAGACACACCGGAGTTGAGGGTCTGTGGGGTTTACTCTCCCAAAAATATAATTTACAATTTAGGCATTTAGCAGACGCCTTATTCCAAAGCGACTTACAATGACCAATTACAGGGACATTCTCCCTGGAGTAACCGAGGGCTAACTGCCTTACTCAAGGGCACACTAGTAGTGGTGTTCCAGGCAGGATTTGAACTCGCAACCTTCCGATCATCAGCCCACCTCACTATCCATTAGACCACCAAAAAAATATATATAAATTGATGTATGGGAAACACTGACATGCCCCTTGAGTATCCATTTTCTTCAGATTTGGAGTAGACAAACAGACCATGGCTTGGGAAAGCGCCCATAAGAGAACCTTAAACAAAATATAAGTTATCCTTTCTAAAATGTTTGTTAATACATGTCAGATGCATTGAATAATATATATGTTAATATAATTATCTGATTTTGTAAACTCTCAGATATCAACTGAAGTATCATCCTTAAAAATATAATTTGTTGGGCTGTGAATCCCTATAAAAAACAAAGAAACTATGAAAAACATTTGCATTCTTCATCAAAATCATCAAGGAATTGTAGTTAGGCTGTGAACTAAAATATGTTATCATAATTAAGTGCATAACAGAGAAAAGAACGACTCAGGAGACACATTTTTATTATATAACATGCTTTTTTCTTTTCAGATTGATTTCAAATGTTTTTTCCTTTTAGGGATTTCGCACACTGGAGGACATCCGCACAAAAGCCCACCTGAGCACCACTCAGAAAATAGGACTCAAGCACTACGATGATCTTCTGGACCGAATGCCCAGAGAAGAAGCAGCTGCCATAGAGAAAGTGGTAATGCATCTTCATCTGTCGCAATATTTACATCATCATTCTGTATAAAAGACTGAAATATGCCTGCATCTTTCACCACTTTCAGTATGTAACATGAGGTGAGGTATCTCTGAAAAAAGATTCCCCCTCAAGCCCTCAGTCATTTGGAAGGAGATGCTGGAAGTAGAAAAACGGTTGTGTCAGCTTTCCTTGACTGCTTGATAATGGGAAAACCAGACTGTGCTCTCACGGAGCGGAGCATCCCAAAGGGGAAAACTACTCCTTAAAAGTAGCCGCATCTTACGTTAGCCAGATACCTGTTCACTCCAGGGCGCTGAGTACAAGACTAGTTGTTTTCATATTGTATTACTTATTTTTCCTTGAAAGCTGCCAGATAGAAAGTGCACATTAGATAGATGACTAAAGCAGGTGTATTCCCTCCGGCTTGTCAAAAAAATGATGTGCTGGTTCAGCAAACCTACCTCCCAGGATAAGGCTAAAAAGCGTACTTGTAAGATTAAAGAACATATCCAAATATTTGAAAAAAATCCTCCTCCATACTCGGAAAGACGATAGCCTATATTCTCTGTCTTTTAATGTGCAGGTGAAGGATGCTGTCCATGCAGTAGACCCAGGCCTGTTATCGATGGCGTGTGGCTCCTACCGTCGGGGAAAAGCCACGTGTGGAGATGTTGACGTACTTATAACTCACCCTGATGGCAAATCTCACAAAGGGGTTTTCAGCAAACTGTTGCAGAGCCTCCGTGACAGTGGTAAGCTCCATCTTCTTTAGGTGTTAAAGCTCCCCTATTACACTGTTTTTCATCAATATATTATAGGTCTCAGATATATACAAAACATGTCTCTGAAGTGTTTGGCCTCGAAATACCAAACAGATCATGCATTGTAGCATCCCATAATCCCCTCTGTTTCAGCCCTGTTTCAAAAGTGCTGATTCTGGGTCTGTTACTTTAGATGAAAATAAGGAGCCACTCCCCACGCCCCTCTGAGAGATATTTGGTTAAAAAGAACACAATGGTGCTCTAGGAGGAGATTCAGGTGATAAGGTGGGGGGGGGGTTACCTTGGTTGGTGATTGGCTAATGGTTACACAAGCCAAAACATCATTATGACATCATAAAGTGGCCAAAATCGAATCAGCTCATTTTCAGACAGGTTTTTATATAAATGGATCAGGACAAAAAGAGAGAGAATATTTGTTCCTGAAACTTTCAGACTCTCTTAACGCAGAGGCGACACATTTTTATGTATAAAATATTTTGCATAATAGGTGACCTTCAAAAACTGCCTGATGTCTTTCTAAGATGTTTTCTTTCCTAAAGAGAAACCTTAATAATAAATGTTATTTCTAAGGGTTTTTGACGGATGACCTGGTGAGCCACGAGGACAACGGAGAGCAGAAGAAGTACATGGGCGTGTGCCGTTTGCCAGACCACCGCCATCGCAGGCTGGACATCATCGTCGTGCCCTACAACGAGTTTGCGTGTTCTATCATGTATTTCACTGGGTCGGCACACTTCAACCGCTCAATGAGAGCCATGGCAAAGACAAAAAGAATGAGCTTATCGGAACACTCCCTGAACAAAGATGTGGTGCGTCAGGGTAGCTTAAAGGTGTTTGGCGGCACTCCATATACTACAAAGACAGAGAAGGATGTTTTTAGTATTTTAGGCATACCATACAGAGAGCCCCATGAAAGGGACTGGTGAGGTTTCCCCAATCACAATGTTTTGTCTGTTTTTAAAGAATAATCATGATGATGAATGATGACAAACTGCAATTATGGCCAAACAACTATTTTTAAGAATGTTTTACTGCATGAGTCCTGTTTTACTTGAATACCATTTTATTCTACAGATGAATTTATATGTACCATTTAATCATAAGAACCTTTTTTCTTACACTCAACCCTAATTGTATCTTTTCTTCCAGATTGTTTAAGGGATGTGTACCAAAGTTTTGAGATATCCATCTCTGAAACTCCTACTGACACGCCATTACAAACAAATATTGGGAATTTTGCTGTAGCCTTTTAAAAAAATATTTGTAATTGAATTCTTAAGGAAAGTTTCTTACATGTATTATTCACAGTGTAGAAGGTAGCTGAATGAAGCTGACTAAACAGGAACACTATGACAAATAAATGTTGCTTTGAAGTTTAATCAATGTTAAATTGTAAAACTTCTATTATTCAAGGCTGACATCAAAGGTTTTAAAGGTGAATATATAAGCAATTCAACAGGTTAATCAAAAAGCTATGTGCAGGGCTGGATACAACTTGAGGTGAATAGAAATATATATGAATTTGCAAGTTGATTAAATGTGTCTTTAAAGTAATTTTAACATATATGCTTGATACTTTGTATTTTAAAAAATTCAAAAGTGGGTTATGTTAATAAACAAAGGGAATTTAAAATATCTTTCTGTGTCTTGCTTAATTTTTTTCAGAACTGCACAATAGAATGTTTTATGTTTACAAGCTTTAGTCTGGAACGACAAGACAGTTCTAGCTGCAGTATTTACTGGATTGTGTTCTGTGACATTCTATGTAACTTGACCGGCGTTTGGTACAATCAAAAACTTCTCTAGTCATTTTTACATTGAATATGGCCTCATAAGGGGGGATACCACATTTTAAAAGTCATGAGGAAATACATAACTTTCCCCATAAACTGGAGAAGGGGCACCCAAAAAGACAACAAGGCCATGCACTGGAGACGCACCGGTCCCTGATTGGTCAGCCTCTCCCCAGCTGGCCTTGGCTGTCCAATCATGATTCAGTCCGCAAAACCAGTGGCGATCCACGCAACCGCAAAACCAGTGGCGATCCACGCAACCGCACGCCCATCACGTTGTGCACTGCACATGGATCGGGTCGAGGTGACCACGCCACACCCAGCGGACCGAGTGGCTGTGCTGGAGGAGCGGCTTGTGTAACAGCTGTATCCGCCAGTGGCACCGACACAGCCAGCGCCAGCTCCGAGTGAGATGTCCAGAGGAGGCGGCGCGTCCAGCGGCCTCTCAGCGCCACAGGGGCCGCGAAACAGTTGAACATATTCGGGCATAGTTTGCGAACAACACTGTTTGCGTGCGTATGTTTTTTGTCAGAGCTGTAGCCACTTTTTTTTGGAGGAATGAGAGGCGTATGTCCGGCTCTCAACATGGGATTGTTTTTGCACGCTGTTGGCTCTGTCACCCCCACCGAGTCCGCAGCAGACAGGGTAAGACTGAGCAGTCAAAAACAAGGCTCTCTCTCAGGGCTGTTAGCTAGCTAGTTATCCGGCTAACTTAGCAAACTGGACAACTTTATATTAACTGGCTTATAAAACAACATGTCAAGTCAGTATAGCAACATACTGTTTCTGTTTTCATTCTATATTGACTTTCTTTCACTTATAGTGTGCTGTCAAGAAAGATATTAGCATGCTTGTTGACTTCGTCTGCTCGCTGCGATAGCTAACCCAGTTAGCATAGTTAAAGTGAAGGGACGCTCGAGTCAGGGCCCTGCTGTGTTTTGTTTATGGTAAAGCCAGGGTTTGACATTTCAGTTAGAAGTGTGTTCCAAATAAAAATAAAAGCAGTTCTACAGGTATGGAAGTAGCCACACAGGTAGACATAACAAATAGCATTGACGGGTACATGTATTGATTACTGCCATCTAAAAAGAAAATAGTTCTAATATTATAGCAATTTATTTTATAAGATAATAAAATATGTTGTTGGCAGTGTGTTGACAATGACGTTGTTATAACAAGTTGACCCAGTCATCATGTCATCAAGCAGATTTATTATTTATACAACTGTTTTAAATACAAGAATAACTGTATTATTATGTGTTAAAGTGTTATCGTATGTAGAACAGAATTTGAAGTACAGTCTCCATACATTCTCCTGTCTTTTTTATTATAATAGTCACCTAGGCAGATAATGATGTTGTTGAATGTGACTGTTAAATGTTAAATAATTCATGTTGATTAATAAGAGTTACCTTTTTTAAACTTCTGAATTGATATTCTTAGGGTTTCTTCCTTACAGCTAAACTTGTATTGTAACCTGGTGTTATTTCCTGTTTAGTACATTCACATTGCAACTTCTGAGGAGGTAGACATTAGCAGTGAGCTTCAGATTATTGTCAAAAACAAACCTACCTGCCAAGAGGGATATTTGATTTACATTCTCAATTTTTGCAGTCTTACCCTGCTTTTGTTTTGGAGAAATGATGTGGTTGCAATAATACACATTGTTGTGTTTCTTATGGCGTCACTTGTGCATGCACAATATATATATATATAACATAGAGTATATTTAGTCATGCAATTGTCCTTGGTCTTGTGACTTTTCAGTAAACATTTTAAAGGCGTTTGCTCTGAGAGAAGCAGTTTGATTTGTAGTGTTTTTAGGCCATGATAAGTATGAAACCACAACCTTGCAAACTACTGAGTAAGACTTATTTATGTTGAAGCAGCAGATTTTGCATTACGTTGTTTCAAGCACGTTGTCACTGTAGCATTAATGAAGAGATGCAGTTACAACATTCTTGCAACGCATAGCCTTTTTTGCTGACTTAAGACTTAACGATATGTCACAACTTTCTTTTTACTAGCTTGGCTAAAAGGATTTTCATGATCATTTAGATTCCATCAATGGCATCCAATCCGTGTATCTACGAAAAACATCTATCTATCTACATCTATCATGATGATGATCAACATCTATCATCTATCTAAGAAAAACAATTGGACGGTAGATACACGGATTGCATCCACATTACTGCTGTTTTCCTCTGATTGGATGAAATGACAAATCCAAAAGAACAATATGCACACACACTAAACATTCAACAATAAACAGGAATGTATTTATACATATAAGTTCATGTATTATACAGAAACTAAACTAATCTAACTTCTTAATGGTCCAAAACATTTATTTCATCATTGTAAACATTGTTTTAAAAATGGTATAATAACACAGACATATTACTAGGGAAAGTAATGGTATCAATTCTAAGCATTTCAGAGAAATGTAAAATTGTTTAGAAAAGCCTGTTAGAAAATGCTGTTTTCAGCCTTTCAAAACAAGGAGATTTAGATTTTATTTATTAGATTATATTAAACTACATATCTGGGTTTCGAATAGGGATGGGAATTTGAAAGCAAATGTATATTCGACCCCCAAGAAAACAGTTAAACGATTAACCAAAATGTACATATCCTATAAAAAAAAAAAAAAATGTGGGGAAATCTTTTGCAAAACACACCTTTAGACCTAACACACTTAGCTATGGCACTGTCGTATACATTGAATTATTCCATTTGATCATATGTAATCAACGTAGGCATCCCTCCAAAAAGAATTACAATAAAAAATATTCATAACTCATATTCGAAGACCTGAATAATTTTGAATATTCGATGAATCGTTCCCATCCCTCGTTTCGAACTCATCCAATGTTTGACATAATCTAGGACTTTGTGGATACTTGCATGGAAATGTTCCACTTTTTACTCTAATTTACAGGCCAATTGATTTAATCTAGAAAATAGTCGAGAGATTCATCAATAATGAAAATGAGTTGCAGTTCTAGTTATGTTGCTGTAACTTGGAGTTATTTGTCCTTTTCTTTGTGGTGAGAAAGTAGAGAAAATGTATAATTCATCAACCCTATCAAGACTTTATCAGTCCTTTTATACACGATATATACCCTCTTTGTTTTGTCAGTAGTGAAAAAATATCTCTGAAGTGGTGATGCTGGCTACAATTCCTCTGCGAGTGCATCACGGCACAAGAGCCACAAGCTAGGGGACAGAATTGGGCTTTACTTGTTGTTTTTCGGAGCAAAGAAAAGTAAGGCAAGGCAAGGCAAGTTGATTTATATAGCACTTTTCAACACAAGGCAATTCAAAGTGCTTTACAAAAAATGAAAGACATTCAGAAAAAGGCATTTAAAATCAGTCATTAAAAAGAAAAGCTAATAAAATAAACATTAAAAGAAAAAAATACATGGATAAAAGTTACAGTGCAGTCTAAGATATGAATAGTTCAATTAAACATTTTTCTTTTGTAGTCACTTGTGTTATCACGTGTACTAGTGCCATGTATCTATCTGTTTGTTATCAGTGCACGCATGTGAGCAAAATTGCTAAAGTTATGCAACCCGTAATTGCAAGCTTATCTATCCTTATTTCAGGACAAACAATAGTACAAATGATGCCTTCAAGAAGTATGTTATTTGTTCATGTATAAAAGACTCATGGCCCTTAGGAGACCCAATCACATGGCCCTGAGCTATATCTTCTATTTGAATTCATTCAAAAACAGGCAGCTATATTTTTTCTGTCACAGTAACCTGTTATCGTCAGTTATTATGATTAACACTCAGATCTGTTTTCATCACCTGTTTATAGCAAAAAGGCAAACGATTTCTTCTAGTTTGCATCATTTCCGTAATCTGTCAAAATGTGTGCCTTCCGCTGATAGATTTGAAACGTGATGTATTCAAGAGCTGGTGTCTCAAAAGCTTTAAAAGCGTTTTGTTTCTTTACACAGCTTATCATAGCACCTAAAATAAGAAACAAAAGTTGTCAGTTAATTTTTTCACATGACATCATGGGGTACAAAAAAGCTAGCATGTAAGCCGGGGTCTTGTCAGCGTCCTCCACACACACATCTTAAATGTATAAATACAGTGTTTTGTTTTGTGGGAAAAAGGACCGTTAATCATTTCTTTTTTTATTATTACTTAATTGCAGGTATTAACATAGCAAGTTATCAATCTCATGAACTTTATCATTCACCCTGCCACATTAACTGTGTAACCAAAATAATACTTATAATCATGATACTACCATCATTTCTGAAGCCATTGTCAAATGTCATGTTTTTGCATTTCTAACAATGTTCTGAGAGACCTCTTAGTTGACTGCAACATTTTTGTGTCCCAGTTTGATTATAGGCCTTGAATAGTACCAGCTACAGTAAGTGTCCTCTTGTATCCTAAAGTCCTGGCATACACACGGTATGTTCTGACTTGTATAATGTAGCTACTTGTTTGTTAAACTGAACTCCTCAGCTATGTGGGATAGTATTGCATTTCAGGGACAGTTCACACAAACAAATACATACTTTTTTCTTTTACCTGTCAATCTAGATTGTTTTTAGAATTTAGGGATTTGGGAAATCTCCCAAGGCTCTTGCTCCAGATGTAAACAGCTGTAACGTTAGCCAACTCAGTAGGGCTAGGTGAGCTAGCATTAGCTTCATTCTCCGCGTTGATACATTGGCCGGTGTTATTCGTTAGAGAGAAAGTAGTTCCTCTATGAACCTGTGCACAACATGCCTAGTTTTGGATTATCTGAGTAACCGGGTCTTGAGACATTGCTGTCGAGTACTACTTCCTTTTCCCCCCTTTTCTTTTAGAGAAGGTACAAATGTCTACGACTAATGCCTCCACAATTATTTAGATTGATACATTTAAATAGCTCTTTAAGTAAGAGGGAAAATAGGTGTTTTACATTTTTGGGTTGAACTAGCCCTTTAAGGCTGTTTGGAACATATCAGTGGTGTTGTTACATCCATGACCTTGATGACTATAAAAAGCTCATTTATTTGTTGCAAGACAGAATAATAAATAAGGGGTCGGCAAGGTCTTTATGTGCATCAGCTAGCTTGCCAAGTCCCTACAGGCCTGTATTAAGTGGATCAACTCAGAATGAACTAAGAACTGTACCCTCTTAACTCCAGTGACTGTAATCGATAGCCGTTCTCACTGTCTGCTCATTTCAGCAGCTTCTCATTAATAAGGTTTATTATTTTCTAACGCAGCGATCATTTCTGGGACGGTAACCAAATCCAACTTTAATCTTGTAGCGTAGCATGAGAGAGTGGATTGTTGCCTGTTTGGATGATAGACAGAGGAATCTAGTCCCTCCAGATTCTTTGCTCAGTCACTGTCTCCTATAAGATAAAGGTTACAGGGATAGTCTCAGGTTAAGGCTTGATTCACGTCCCATCCCGCAATGTATGACATGCATGTCAAAGATCAGATGGAGCACTTTTTCTCCACGAAAGGCCTGTTTACGAAACCCCCCGACCCACTTCAGTGCTCTAGTATCTTTATGCGGCACAGGCTGAAGACCCAAACAAACTAGATGGTTATCTGTATCCAATTCCAAAAAGGGCTCAGCAGCCTGCCAAGTGGGGAGCATATGGTGGGGAGTAGTGAGTCAGTGAAAACAGCTGAAGTTATCGGAGGAACAGAACATTATGTGTTTATTACACAGACAATTAACTCCCTCCGTGTTGGGGGTGTTTTTTTTGGATAAAATGTCATGTTGATAAGGTTGAAACAGCTGTTGAGAGAACTTTTGAAGGTTGCGTCCACATTTAATGTCAGCAGTTTAGATTGTGCTGATCCAGCGTGTGACGAATTATTCCCGCGTTACCTACCGCTCCGTGTTCTCGCCCGTTCTTCCCAGGCCTCACACTTTAAGACACACACCTCTCGGCACCCTGTACGCCTTATTATCATGCCCAGCTAGGAGCTCGCCCTCCGCTGCTGCTTGGAAATTTCCGTAGAGCAATCCTTGTCCATTGTTTAGGGTGAGGGAGTGTGTGTGGGGTGGACAGAGGGAAGAAAAAAAGATAGAGAGGGAGGCAGGGACTGGGAGAATGTGTGTGAGTTTCTTTTGAGGGATAATCACCCATGAGGTTGGAGGGACTTGTCTGGGATTTTTGGAACCTGGATCCTCATCGGCATGCATCGCAATCTGGGACCTGCACTGGTAATCTGCAGGGATCAAACCTGTCCTTCTCTAGAACTTGGGCTAGCTAATCATTGAGCTCATTTAGAAGAAAACCTCTGAGGGATCTAGCTGCAAAAACCCATTTGAAAGGATTTTGATTACTCCCTTGTCTTCTGGCACTATGGGAATCATCGGATCTGATTATCCTCCGCAGTCAGGTTAGCTTTTGATCATTTCATTGACGCTAGACAAATACCTTATTGGTTTTGGATTAAAGTTGACTCTTGTGCCGAACACTTTCTGATATTTTAAAGCTTTTTTAGGCCTCAGCTAAATCTTTTCAAGTTGAGTGTGTGTCTCAGATCTTGGGCAACATACGGAGAGGTTTTCACTGGCTGCCGTTCAGAAATTTGCACTTGATATGGGTCTTGAACACTGATGAAATTCAAGCACCTTGTTTACTCCGGAGCTAAGTTTAAATGTGGCTACAAGATATGTCTGCAGTGTTATCATTCTAAATCAAATATCAGGGCTAGGCATGTAAGACGTGCTTTTTCCAGGGTTCTTTTCACCTCCGTTCCCAAATATTTGTGTTCTTTCTTTCAGCTTTGAGTCCTGCTTCTCTTTCCCTCAGTGAATTGTTGTGTGGGAAAGTATTGTACATCAAAAGAAAGTATGCAAATACATCATGCTACCTGAAAGCTGTTGTTTTTTTTTAATACAACTGGAACATAGTACATGATTACACAATGAACTAGCTTTAGAACAAATTGAAATAAGGCCTTTTGACATGTCACTATAGGAAAATCAAGGGTGTAGATAAAACGATGAGAGCTGCTTTAGTGTCATGGTCCAGCCGTTCTGTATAGTCTGTCACTGTCACAGTGTCATGGCTTATTGGGACACTTGAAAACAACAGACATTGTCAATGTTATCTATACCTATTGAAGTGTGTGACAAAGTAAAGAGGAGTCACTCAAGTATTTGACTTAGAATACAAATTTCAATATAATTGCATGAAGCTATTCTAAAATGGTCTAAGAAAACGGAAATGTATCTTTAAAGTTCAGAACAAACAACACAAATGTACAAACATGACTTCTTATGTAGCTTCTAAGCAGGTGAAATGTCTGCAGATTATCTTTTATTTTTGCTTGCTTAATGCAGATCATTTTATTTTTTTGTTTCGGCAATAAATAGTTTTCCAAACAGAGCAAAACAAGGTACAAATGTAATTTCACACTGTGTCAAGGAATAAAAACATGAATCATTGTGGGGGGTTCTGTTATTTTAATTTATTGGTACAGCTCACCGTAACCAGATTTCTTAAGATGATGTTTCTTTTAGGTTGTTTTTTTTAGTAGAGATGTTGATAACACTTTCCTTTTAAAGGGACACTGCTCCTCTCTTGCAGAGCCTACTGCACTGTGAAGGTGTGAACAACCAGAGCTACGTCTGTGAGTCTGGACACTGCTGCGGGGAGTCCCTGTGCTGCAGCTACTACTATGAGCTCTGGTGTAAGTATCCTGCTTAAAAGAAAAGATATATACTAATAATAATAATAATAGATTCATTTTATTAGAGCTTTTACAGGTGCTCAAAGACGCTTTACAGATATAGTTAAAATAAAGGAACAACAAATAAATATATAGTTAAAGTCAAATAATACAAAAACAATCACACATTAAAAGCCAGATTGAAGAGGTGTGTTTTTGTAAGTTTTCTGAAGGTGGTGAGGTCAGTGCAGTCTCTGATGGGTTGTGGGAGTGAGTTCCAGAGGGAGGGGGCAGCGACGGAGAAGGCTCTGTCCCCCCAGGTCCGGTGATTGGTGCGGGTGGGGATGGATAGGAGGTTGGCTTCTGATGAGCGGAGGCAGCGGGAAGGGGCGTGGTGGTGCAGCAGGTTTGTGAGGTGGGGGGGGGCCTGATTGTTGAGGGCTTTGTGAGTAATGAGGAAGACTTTGAAGTTGATTCTTTGACGGACGGGGAGCCAGTGGAGGTTCTGGAGGACGGGAGTGATGTGGTCTCGGGAGCGGGTGTGGGTGAGGAGGCGGGCAGCAGAGTTCTGGATATGTTGGAGTTTATTGAGGAGGTTGGATGGTATGCCGTAGAGGATGCTATTGCAGTAGTCGAGTCGTGATGTGATGAATCTATGAATCAGGGTTTCAGCAGCCGAGGAGGAGAGTGATGGGCGGAGACGGGCAATGTTTTTGAGGTGGAAAAAGGCGGTCCTGGTGATGTGATTGATGTGGTGGTGAATTTGAGCTGACTGTCGAAGATGACTCCGAGGTTGCAGATGTGAGGGGGGGAGATAGAGTGTGGCTGTCAATGGTGAAGTTGAAATTCTGGATGTCTTTGGTACAGGATGGGGGGCCGATGATGATGATGTCTGATTTGGCACTGTTCAGTTGGAGATAGTTTGTTTGCATCCATGCTTTTATTTCTGAGAGACAGTTGGTGAGAGTGGAGTGTGTTGTGGGGGTGATGGTTTTTGTTGAGATATAAAGTTGGATGTCATCGGCGTAGCAGTGAAATTGAAGGTTGTGGCGACAAATTATTTTGCCAAGGGGGAGCATAGAGGATGAAGAGGAGGGGGCCAAGCACCAATCCCTTGGGGGACGCCTTGGGACAGAGGAGCAGTGGAGGAGGTGCAGTTGTTGATGTTGATAAACTGATGTCTGTCGGTGAGGTAGGATTTCAGCCAGGAGAGTGCAGTGTCGGTGATGTTGAGTGATGATTCGAGGAGGGACAGCAGGATGGCGTGGTTGATGGTGTTGAATGCTGCGGTGAGGTCGAGGAAGATGAGGATGTTCAGGTTGCCGGAGTCAGAGGAGAGGAGGAGGTCGTTTGTGATTTTGAGAAGAGCTGTTTCGGTGCTGTGTTTTGATCGGAAACCGGATTGAAATGGCTCAAAGAGGTCATTGGAGCTGAGGTGGGATTTTAGTTGTGAGGCAATGACACGTTCAAGTATTTTTGACAGAAAGGGGAGATTTGAGATGGGCCGGAAGTTGGACATGATGTCAGGTGTGAGTCCAGGTCTTTTGAGAATGGGTGTGACAGCAGCCAGTTTGAGAGAGGGGGGGGGGAACTGAACCAGATCTGAGGGAGGAGTTAATGATGGTGGCGATGAGTTGGGAGATGGCAGGGAGGCTCTCTTTAACAAATTTGGAGGGCATTGGGTCAAGTGTGCAGGTGGAGTTAATTCCAGTCATAAAGTCGGACAGTTGCATGGGGGTCACAGGGGAGAAGTGGGACAGGGGCTGTTGAGGGTGTCAGATTGCTGTAAATGTTGCTGATTTTGGTTTGGAAAAACGAGAGGAAGGAGTTCGGTGGTGAATGATGAGTTGGCGTTGTCACAGGGTTTGAGAAGTTTGCTGATGGTGGAGAACAGACGCTTGGGGTTGCTGGAGCCAGACTGAATGAGTTGTGAGTAGTAATTAGACCAGGCTGCTTTGAGTGCGTTACTGTACTGCTGGATTTGAAGATGGACTGTTAGTGTGGTTTTCTTGTGTTGGCGTTCCAGTTGACATTTCCTTGATTTCATTTGGCGGAGTTCGGGGGTATACCAGGGGGCGGAGTGTATGAAAGAGACATTTTTTGTTTTTCTGGGGGCCAGTTCATTGAGACAGAAGGAGAGGGTGCTGTTATAATAGTCCACAAGTTCAGATGGGTTTTCAGAAAGTGGGGGGGGGGGAGACAGACATCTTGCAGGTAATGGAGGCAGTGATTGCTGAAGGTGAGATGGATTTGAGATTTCTGTAGGTTATTGTGCGTTTTTGCTTTTGGGCGGGGATGTTGATGTCCATGATGATGGCCAGGTGATCAGAGATGTGGAGATTGAGGCTGGACAGATGATGGATGGTGAGACCAGTGGAGCAGACCAAGTCCAGGATGTGACCACGGCTGTTTGTTGGGAAGTTGATGTGTTGAGAGAAGTTGCAGCAGTGAAGGGTTTCCTTAAATTCAGAGGCATATTTGCAGGTCGGGTCGTCAACATGAATGTTAAAATCACCTAAGAGGAGAACAGATGGGGATATGGCAGAAAGCTGAGTGAGAATGTCAGAGAGGTCGGAGAGAAAGGAGGGGTTTGGCTTCGGGGGACGGTAGATGATGGCTGTGACCAGGGGAGTAGGACCAGAGAGTTTAAAGATCAGGTGTTCAAATGAAGAAACATCAGGGATGGGGATTATGGTAGCTTTTATTTCCTTTCTGATAATAGCAGCTATACCACCATGTCGGCGAGGTTTGTCAATGTATGTGAATCCTGCTGGGGTGATTTGATTTAAAGAAAAATAGTCCAGGGGTATTTGCCATGTTTCGGTCAGATACAGAAAGTCCAGGTTATATACATACCCCTTGTCACTTTCTCGCAAAACGCCTCTACTATTGAGGGATTGACAGGCCTAGGATATTTAGCTACCTCAATTATTCTGTTGTTGCCCAAAAATCTCAGCACCCCTGAGGATTATTAGTAATAACAAATACATGTAGATTTATTTAAAATAAAGTATGGGCGTGTTTTGGATTCTACAACATTTTTCAAGAACGTTATTGTTATTATGACAGTGATCGAGCATCAGAGCTTCCGGAATTTGACAGACTATGTAGAAAATTTCCAGAAATGTTCTTTTTTTTTTTAGCAGAAAGTAAAGAACCTTAAAGGTGAGGTAGGTAATTTTGGAGAAACCAGCTTGAGTGCGCTAGAATTTGAAAATACACAACCGGAATAAATCTGCCACTTCCTTACAGAGCCCCTCCTCCAACACACACGAACGCGCACATGACCAATGAGGGCACGAGATAAGTTTGTGCACAGATGGAAGGCTGACAGGCAGGTAGGCCATCCAGTTACTTTAGCCGGGCCGGCTCAGATGATTGGTCGTGCTTTTTACAGCGCCACGGCTTCCACAGATGACATTTTTTTATGTATTTATTGTCAAAGCACTTAATATATTCATTGCTATCGGGATGTTAAGAGCATTCCATGGAATATAACAAAAAGTGTTTCTGAAATAAATTACATACCCCACCTTTAAGTTTTAAATAATTAATAATTTAAAGATATCTTTCTTGGGATTACCATAAAATAGTGATGGTAGGAGTCCCTGGGTTATTGAAACACAAAAAATGTAACGTAAATAAAATTATTACATTTTTTGAAAATGTTGAAACATGTTAAATGTACTTTTTGATTCAAGGTATGTTATGTTTCAGCTAACCCTTCTTCCCACTCTAAAAAATGTTTACATGTGATATAATGTAATGATACGTGTATATGCAGTATTAAATATATTACTTTACACAGATTCTGCTTGGAAAATATTCTATAAATATCTGTGATAATGTAGCCACATTATTTCCACGAGGTGGGCATGCCATAAGATGTTTGGTATGCTCAGACATGATGTCTGTCTGGGCTCCATCCATGTTTCTGACCTGACCCTGTAACCTTTTTAAATCGTCTGCTCCAAATTTTCCATGACAGTTTCTTCTGGCCTTCATTGATGTCATGAGGCTTAGGAATAGGCTGATGCCGTATGGGCAGTGCTTGCAGTCAGGATATAAGGGTTTTAACTTAAGGGCTGGAATCCTTGTTTACACACACTACAGAAACATGTTTTCTACAAGATAACCCTACTTACCTTATTAGATAAGACTTTTAAAAAAAGGGCGTGAGAAATGCACTTGTGATGATTTAACGCAGATTATTTCATACGTTCCTGTTGCTTTATAGTCACCATGGGTTTATGTGCTTAGTTAACACAAATATTGCAGACATGTATTTACTGTACATGCCACTATATAAGCTTGGAACCACCAACATAGAAAATCATATTTTAGCCTTTGGTCGTTGCCTGTTTTCAGAGAAGAAATTCACATGTAGTAGAGGCTGGAGTTTAGATGGTACTGTTTTTTTGTTTGTTGAAAATAATAATAATCACCTACAATGTGTTGTAGCGCTAGCCAATAGAAGCGCAAGTCAAGTGTAACATAGGGATGTCAGTATTTGGTGGAAATAAACAAAGAATGGAGGCGTTTCAGGCAGAGGGGGGAGTGTGTGGGAGCATTTACATGCTCAAAACCTACATAACCTATATAAAGAGAAAACCCCACAAATCATAATAGAGCCCCTTTAAACAATGAAATTGTGCTGGGATGTGGTATTCATAATTTATATTCCCGAATAATAACTGTGTGTACAAAAGATATTTCTGTTTTATTTATTTTGTCTGATTTATTTCAACATCCACAATCAGAGTTTAGTGCGTGTCTAATATCTGTGGTTGCTTCACAGAGTAAACAGTCAGTGTCTTGTTGTGGAGATAAGTACGGACTTGGACCTCTTGATGACGTCAAATTCATAATGCAATGCATACAGTTTACAAGCACGTAAATGTTTCACTATTATAACCAGAGGTTGGTTGTATTGGATCTGTTTGTGTTAGCAACAGGCAGAACAAACTAGCACAGTTTATGGACATTGTAGAAGACACTTTCCTGTTAACACCCCTTCATCATCCAACAAGTTTATTATACAATATAGTGCCAAACAATCTTATATATTTGTTATAGTTTCACTGTAAGCAGAACATGACAGTGTTGATTCCTCTCACTTCAGGGTTTTGGTTGGTGTGGGCGATCATCTTCATCCTGAGCTGCTGCTGTGTGTGTCACCATCGCCGCACCAAACAACGTCTGCAGCAACAACAACGGCAGCACGAGATCAACCTCATCGCCTACCGCGAAGCACACAACTACCCCTCCGTGCCCTTCTTCTTCAGTAAGATCTGCTACACCAACACAGACAAGATAATAAGGAAACATGATATGATATAGTTGTTCGTCTTTTTCTACGCCAACCAGGAAATTATCATCGCAAAAGGTCCCTTGACAAAAAAACGCAGGATTCTCTATCGGATTTTGGGAATATTGCAGTAATAAGATTTGTGGCAAACACACGTTTATGACACTTTGAGAAAAACACATTCTGATCCGCAGGATAATCTCAACACACGATTATAATACATGAAGCTTAAATGCAATAGCCGGAATTAAATTGCTAACACTAGTCTGTAAACAAACTACATCGTGCTCATGTAGCATCACCCCCGCTAAACTAAAGGCTGTCTCGTGATGGGTGAGAATATTTGTAGTAATCACATTTAGTTGGCTTTAGTGTGTTTGTGTTGGAACGTCTCTCTCAAAAGGTAATTACTCTCACTGCCAGAGGGGGGAGACAAAAGTTCTACACTACAACTTAAAAATGGATTAATACCATTAACGCCAACAAGTGTTAGCTTAGTAATTGCAGAAACATTTTACATTTTTTGGGGACATTTTCCTCAAAAGTTGACAAAAAAAACATTTGTTGTGTGTTTATCATGTCAAGGCATCTTGAGTGCGTAAACAAGGCCTTCCTGTCAGAATTTCAGGTTTAAATCTAAATGGATAAAAAATATTGACGTATGTTTTTGAAAGTGTAATTTTGAAGTGTAATTGAGCTGAAGCATTTCATTGTTTGGTATGTACAGTAGTGCAAGGGGTTAATAGCACTGTTTTAAAAGTGGTTATTTAAAAATAAAACTGTATTGCGTGCAACCCTTTTTTTGCACACACTAATTTCCTTCAGGCTACAGACTCATTATATGTGTGTGGCCAGGGGAAATGATTGAGGAAGCCAATGTTCTCTTTGATGATCTCTCGTCTTGAACCCGCCTGTTCTCCAAAATCGATGTTTGCTTCCTCCCCCCATTATATAAATATTTTTTCTTTTAACATGTAAACTACGCGTTCTGGTACTCTCTGACAAGAAAATAAAGCAAAAAGACAATGAACTTCAGGCAAACAGGCCAAATAATATTGCCGCAAGCATGTTTGAGTCATTTTAGAATCAGTAGAGTAAGGAGGAATTATTTTTAGTTTACTTTGTTTTAAATGACATTGCCTGGGCCCTGCTGCTGCAAAGCGGGAGCAATGTTTTTCTTTACATTTTCTATTAAAAGTTTACTAACATGTCCAAATTGAAATACTTTGTGCATGCTATTTTTCAGAACATTTATAAGTTGTACTGGTCATTTCAAAAAGTGGTGGGGACATGTCCCCAGCGTAAAGGACGCCTATCCGAGGGCCAGTGCTGCCCCCCCCCCCTGCAGTCATGCAACATGTTGAAGTGTCAAGTGCTCGGTAGGCATGTCTACAGTATTGAAGTGTATGTTCGTCGCTTTGGATAAAGGTCTCAGCTAAATAACATGTAATGTAATAACTTGACCCCATTACAAGGATTACCAGCTGCGTGTCGAGTGTACGACTCAAAGGTCGCCTATGTCAAGTCTATCGTAGAGGTGAAGGTGTTTTGGAAAACAAAAACTCAGTTCTTAACCGTTAGAATTTCAAGCACTAACACGTAATTATCAAACTGAGGAATTAAAAACGAGTGACAAACAGCGCGGTATGAGCCTGGCTCAGTGTAATGTTTGCACTGACATGTATCCCTGGTTTCACACAGCGTCAGAACCTTCCCTGTTTGCATGCCCCAGTTTTCAGGAAACGGCCGGCATCCTTGGGTCCTTGCCAGTGTTGCAACAGCATCGCGCCCAGAGCTGCAACGGCCTTCAGCACAGAATTGACCCAGATATGAGCTTGTTTTGTCACATTGTTCCCCCTATTGCTTTGGGAATGTTTGAATAAGTGGAAGTTCAGTGAGGTCATGTTAGAATCTTTAGGGGTCAGACAGAGAAGTTATGTGAATGCAAAAATAACTAAGTGTTGCTGCCATGAAACATTTCCAGTGCTTAAGCAGATTTCTGCTTTTTTTTTTATCAGGGTTTCTGCCAAACTACCTCCTGCCTGACTACGAAGAGGTGGTCAACCGGCCCCCGACACCCCCCCCTCCCTACAGTGCCTTACACACAGGCCCATCCTCAGTGGCTACTAGCCCCCTGGCTCCTGATCAGCAGGAGGGACACTGTCCAAACATCCAGCCCACTCCGGTGCCCCCGGTCTCTGACAGTCTGTGCAGACCCGGGACAGAGGAACCACAGCCCCCCACCTTAGACTTGAGGCCAAAGCCTGACAACAAGCCGCAAGAGTCTGGCGTGATACTGCTGTCAGATGGACTCAGGGAGGGACTTAGCAGCCCGGATAAAAGGAGCGGAGGTGCGGAGGACTGCTGTAAGGACCCCCTGTTGAAGGAGCGGACGGAGGGTCCTGCTGAGGACAAAGATCGATTCCTCAATGGACGGAGGAGGCGATTCACGGGGGACTCCGGGATTGAGGTGTGTGTGTGCGGCTCACGAGGGAGCAGCGGTTTTAGTGGAGCTGGAGGGACAGGCCAGGAGGGAAAGGAGTTGAGGGAGCTAGAGGGCCTGCTGGGGCATGAGGGGGTAGATGAGGAGCAGGGGGGAGAGGAGGAGGAGGAAGAAGAGGAAGAGGCGGGCGACTTCTGCGACAGCTGTGGCAATCGAGTCTCCTTCAGTGTGGAGGAGGAGCAGGCGCCGGGCGAGCCGGAGAGGCGGGTCGCACCCGGGCCTCCTCAGCCGGCTAATCAAACAAGCGGTGCCGCGCCCCACCCCCCCGTGTGCCTCCTCCACACCATCAACGAGCAGGAGGGGCCGCACCTCGGCCCCAGCACTGAGCCGCAGGGCTGACACACACACCTGCATGTCGGAGAGGGAAGAGGCTTTTGTATCTGACGGGTGTTTTATGTCTAAATGCTGAGTGTGAGTATATGTGTGTAGATAAAGCAGGTGTGGGAGCGGGAAGTTGAAACTCAACAAAATATGACAGAGAGTTAAGAAAACCTGCCCCCCCCCCCCCCCCTCACACTGGAACGGTGGCCTTAACCTGTGTTTTTTTGGGTTACGTTCGGGCAGTCCAAGCCCCTTTAACAAGCCTGGGGCAAATTGAGACTCCTCACACACACACACACACACACACACACACACACACACACACACACACACACACACACACACACACACACAGTCCTTCAGTTGACCTTGTCATGCAACAGAAACTACTGACACACAGTCAAAGACTTGAAAGCTAAAGCTGTGACGTCAGGAAGGGACATTCACTGCCCTGGATTAACGCAGCTCTACATTTTGGGTGCTTGCAACGTTTCTACCAAGGCATTTTTCAAGGCAGGAAACTAGGTAGTAAAAAAAAAAAAGGAACACATGCAGCAGGAACATTTTTGGGTGAGTGCAATGTGGATTTGCCACCGTGCGTGCTTATGCAAACTGATACTGTACAGGGACGCTAGAACAAGACTGTGTGTGACGTCCCATCAGATTTCAGAAGTGCTTTTTTAGCTTTTTAAAAACCGCTCTGCCTTGTGTGTGTTTGTGTTGCTCTCTATCTGCCCCAGCTAGTCATAGACTGTGAGCAGTTCCTATTTTGCACAAAGTATATGTATCTTTATAAATGAAACTTTAATGGCTTAAACAAATCAAAACAGAAATAGCTTTCAGTCTTAAATTGCAGTTACATAATTTAGTGTCTTAGGGTTTTGGGGCAACATCAATAAGAAATGGACCTCTGGATTGTTAGTAGGGAATGCAACAGACTCACTCTGTACACAATCACTTAAAAAAATAAAATAATGGAATGTTGTAGTATGTGCCTACGCTCCCCAAAGAAAATGCAGAACTTTTATGGAACAATGACGGTTTCAATGAAACTGAGAGACAATGAGAAAGCAGGTACCAAAAATAGAAAATAATATATAAAAAAAGCTTCTTAGAGATTACAGATGAGAACGTCAGACTTCATACTCAGTCGCTTCTATACATAACCGCCTTCACCAGCTATACAAATATTGACACCCTGTACTGGAATTTCATAATAGCACAACCTGAATACACTTTCGCTGTGGAATTCATCCACTAAACATCAATAGCAGCTTCCTGTAGGGTCTGTTAAGTTGGATTTAATTAGACTGGTGCAATTGAACCAAAATAGCTATATGAACAGCTATATAACTATAAGTATGTTTTACTAATTGATGACTGTCAATATAATGCACTTTGCTGTACAATCTGAGAGGAAATGTTCCGTGTATTTTCCTTTATTTTTATACCATCATTTAGCCTGTTAAATGGAATAATACCTATTTGGGGACTTGAATTAATGAATAAAGGAAAATAAACCAAGTAGCAAAAAATAAGATAAGGTAATAAAATAAGTTTGGTAGTTGTCCTTTTGTTATTATCAATACCAGTAAACAAAAGGATATTTCTTGTTACATGTTTTATGGACAAACATTACAGTTTAAAAAGCAATATTGATAATGCTGTAATGCGAATAGAAAGCAAAGACCACCGTTGTTCCATCATAAGTATGTTGTAATGCCTTTTAAGATGTTTTAAATCTAACCTTTTAATCCAGATTTGACTGAAGTTCTGATGATAAATGGGCCATGAAAAATGACACTGGTTGAAACAGGAGCATGCTACGTCAAACTTTTACAAAAATAAGTGAAATTAGACTCTGTCCATTCCCTAAAGCGAACTGGAACTTGGTGATGCGACATGTCATTGTGTCATGATAATGTATATACTACTTTGGAGCACCCTGAAAAATGCACACGTCCCAATGTTTGCAAAGCACAAATGTTTCCTTTCACAGATTTCTATATACCGCTAGATTTTAGGGCCTAAAACAATCTAACAAGAGATCTCTAAACTTCTAGCACTAATTCAATTGTGTCGTGAACTTTCTGTATAAGCAGTAAGGTGATTGAATCTTACCCATGAATGCCTGAACACTCTAAAGTGCTTTATACAGTATGTTGATTGTTTTTGTGAGCTAAAAAGTGATATTGTGGTACATGTAGTACCAAGAAAAAATATTTTTCATATCAACTGAAAACCTTTACAAAAAAAGATTATGGAACTGTATACAGTTTCAGAACCACTTTATATTTGAAAATATGTAAAATATACTGTAACATGTTTGTGAACCAAATAGTTGCTTTCATAATTTGTATGAAATCATTAGCTTTATTGTTATGGACAGCTTTTCTCATGACTATTATTTGTTTCTGTTATGAGAAGATTTCACTTCTTAAGCTGTGTGAAGGGTACGTTTTGACTAACAATACAGTCGATACATGTAAACAAGACCAGGGGCATCTTGCCAAAGACACCTTTTCTTTCTTAAACCAGTGTGTAAGGTGGTTTTGCACGTATTCTTTGAATGTTCTGATCATAAGCCATTTATTACAACCAACAAGGTATGTTAAATAAAACATGCCCTTTCAAATTCAAGCTGACTCTTGTTGTTAAGACTGAGTGGAGCTCTATTTTTGTGTGTGGGAAACTAAACTTGCACTTCTAAAGACTGAATAAAAAAAGTCTAACATGCATGTCATATCTTTGGGATTTCTTTTATTCAAACTTTGTTTTTAACGATTTTTCGTATTTGTTAAATCAGACAAACTTGCTTAATATCATGTAGAAAGAAAGAAAAGAATAAACATACAATACATACATACACACACCTATACAGTACATTTGTATACACGTATCTATTTAGATACTCTATTTGTGTACATACATTAAAATACATATGGCTAATGAAGGCAGGGTTACATCAAATTACCCAAGTCTTTGGGTCCTCTCTGTCCATGATTGACCTTTAAATTGGTCTGATTCTTCCATGTATAGACTGAGATCCATTTATTTGGCTTTAGCACAGGGTTAAGTAAAGCAAGTTTTACAAACAAAGCAAGTATAGGACAAGGACAAGTGGTGGAAGAAGACTTCAGATGCTTTACTTGAGAAAAGTACCAATACATTATTTTCAAAATATCTAATTACAAGTACAGGTATACGTCCTGCATTCTAAATCGTACTTTAATAATAAAAGTATTATCAGCAAAATGTACTTGAAGTATAAAAAGTTAAGATAAACATCGCACAGAAAAATTGCCTTCATGTGTGTATATCATTATATTTGTAAGCGACATTTTTAGATACTATTGTGGAATCACGTAGCATTTAACTGTTTTAGACAAACATAGTTCTGATTGACTTTTTGTGACTTGGAAGAGGCAATTAGTTTAATGTTGAGGGATGCATTTTGTTAGAAGTAGCTCAAGCAGCAAAAATAAATGTAGTGGAGTAAAAAAAACATTGTTTCCCTTTTAATTGTAGTGGAGTAGAAGTATAAAATAGCATAACATCGAAATACTCAGGTAAAAGTACAAGAACCTCATAATTGTACTTAAGTACAGTACTTGAGTAAATGTAGTAAATGACTTCCCACCTCTGATATGGACATCCGTTGGGTTTCAAATAACATTTCCAGTTTTTCTAGTAGCCTACTCAATTGTTGTCTTGGCATGTCTCAGAGAGACAGTTGTTCCATAATATGAATTTCCTGAACTATTGCTTTCCACTCTGAAGTTGCTGGACATTGTCTACTCTTATCTTTGGGATGTGTTGACTGTACCAGGGTTCAGATGTGATATCAGACCGTGAGGGGCAGGACGTGCTATTAGCAGGAAGTCATTTCATATACATTTTGTTCGGAGAGCAAATAGGTGTGCATCAGAAAGCTTTCCTCTACAAATAAAATAATACTTTACTTCAGTACTTGAAACACTCGAGACAATGGCCGAAGAAAACAGGTAAGAACATCAAAACATGCCTCTTTTCTCATTCATCATATTGTATGTTCATGTAAGCTATCATAATAAATTGAGCGAGTGGCGTGTGACATTCGAACCTTCAACTTTAATGACCATAGTGGTAATGTCACATATATTACGTATTAAAAATAGCTTGTGTGCAGTTATAAGTTGTCATGTTGTTGTTGCAAACTAGCAAACTGAGTTAGCACATAGCAGATAGCTAACGTTAGAGTTAACGACGAACATGCAATTTGAAGTTAAGTTCACTTTCAAAAACTTGTTGTTAAAGTGCGTGTGCCAAGGGCTTCGTCGATAGCAGCATTCATGTCGACGTCAAGGTAATTTCACGTGCATTACATATTCACCTGATATTCACACAGAACATGTCATGAATAGTGTTTGCTAGCTTAGCTTAAACGTGTGCTTTCATGAGCTTAACCACTGACAACGTGTTGTTACAACGTAATGTTGAAACGTAACGTTAGAGCAGAACTCTATTTAACGGTTTTAAGGTGAATTAAACGATCAAAGTACATCTCACCATATGAGTCAGTTTACTACTACCGTGCCATGTGGGCTACACAATACACATGGATGACAACAGGGTCGGCTCTAGAACAAATCGAATGGGGGGGCAATCATTTACCAAGGGGGGGCACACACTGCCGTCAACAACCAACACACAAACACCAACGCAACTTCAATTTCAAAAAACATGCTGATTGATTGATTGAAAAGTTTATTAACAGCTTGTATATTGGGTACAGTACAGTACAGCTCAAAACATACAATTGTTAAGGGGATGCAGACCAGAGAAAGACTTTCGTCTTGTTTACATCAGGGTCCCCCATTTCCAATTCATCATGTCATTTAAGACATATAAGACATATTTGACATACAGATGGCTTATTTACAATTTACATACAGGTGGTTTTTTTACATACAGATTGCTTGTTTACAATTTTCATTTTAGATTTCGTTCTAATACATCCTAACCGGACATTTAAGACATACCAAGTCTACAGATATACAGTTAGTAACAGAGTCTAAAATGCGAGTATATACATAGATGGAGGGGGGGAAGCTGTCCATTGAACGACAGGTTGAGATTTGTACCATTACCGGGGCCAGTTTTGCAATGCTCTCCCCCGAAGGTGCTCTTTAAGAGAGGTTTTGAAGGTAAGTATAGTTTTACTTTCCTTTCCTTTACAGTTGTGGGAAGAGCGTTCCACCTTGATGTGGCATAATTGCGAAACGTGTATTCCCCCTTTTTTGTGCCAAATCTGGGTTTCACATGATTTGTGGAGCTCCCTCTGGTGTTATGATCATGGTATTCCTTGACCTTTGGGAAGAATTTTGACATGTACATGGGTACCATAGAGGTGTAGTGGATCTTGTAGACCAGGCCCATTGCAAGTAGCTGTACTCTGTCGTCTACTCTAAGCCATCCTAGGTTGTCAAAGTGGGCAGAGGTGAGGTGGGTTCTAGATGAAAGGTCAAGCAGTAGTCTGACCAGTTTATTTTGCGATGTTTGAAGTTTTATTTTTAGCGCCTTGGAGGTGCTATGGTACTATGACGTGCAAGCATAGTCATAGTACCCTTGAATGAGTGCTCCTGCCAGAGTTTTCAGGGTGTTTTTGTTTACCAGAGAGGAGATCCGGTATAGGAATCTAGTTCTTTGATTGACTTTTTTTATTACATTGGATGCCATTTTGTCACAGGAGAGGTTTGCCTCAAGAATAGATCCTAGGTATGTAATTTCCTTCTTACTTGTGACAATAATGTCGCCCACTGCAACTGAGAAGTCGTCGGATTTGCTGAGATTATGTTTCGAACCGAAGAGAATGGACTCTGTTTTACCCAGGTGTAATGATAATTTATTATCAGCGAGCCAGGTGAAGATTCTGCCGAGCTCGGAGCTGAGGGTTTTTTCAACCTGCAACCTGTTCCTGTCAGAGACCAGCAGGGCTGAGTCGTCCGCGAACAGGAACAAGTTGCAGTCACATGCTGATGACATGTCATTTACATAAATTAGGAACAGTAACGGACCTAATATGCTTCCTTGTGGAACACCACAGCTCACTGGGAGGGGGGGGGGGACAGAGTACCGTTTACCTCCACCATCTGTTCTCTCCCCTCCAGGTAGGATTGCATCCAGCTCACCGATAGTTTATCAAAACCAATTGCTTTTAGCTTGTCAATCAGAATGGGGTGATTGACAGTGTCGAAAGCCTTTTGTAGGTCCAGCATCACCATGCCGCAGTATTTGCCCTCGTCCACCTCTTGTTTGATGTGGTCGCTCAAATAAAGAAGGCATGTGTCAGTGGAGTGGGATGTTCTAAAGCCAGATTGAAATTCATAGATTAGTTTCTTTTCCGCGAGGTACTTTTCGACCTGTTCATATACTATTTTTTCCATGACTTTCGAGATGGAGGTAAGTATAGAAACAGGGCGGTAGTTGCCTGGGTCCAATTTGCTGCCCTTTTTGTGCAGGGGGGTTACTCTTGCAATTTTGAAGTCTTTGGGTACTTTTCCCTGTTTTATGGAGAGGTTAATTATGTGAGCTATGACTGGTGAGATGGCGGTTGCTGAGTCTCTGAGGAATTTGGAGGGGATATTGTCGTGGCCAGTGGCCTTGTTAGGTTGGAGGGCGCTCAGTTTAATGAGTACCTCTGCTGTTGTTACCCTTGCTAGACTGAAATCATCTTTGCGTACCCCTAGGTTTTAGTAGGTCATGATGTGATCTACTCCAAAAAGCCCTGAGTGGGAGGGTAATTTATTTACAAGAGTTGTGGCTATGTTTGTGAAAAAAATGTTCAAGTACTTGGCCACATCCAGTTTGTCTGTGATGAGCCTGTTATCTGTCTTTATGTTTAAGTTAGAAAATCTCGTTTTGAGTTTTTTACTGCAGCCAAGCTGGTTATTGAGTAATTTCCAAAGTTCACAGGGTTTATTTTTGTTTTCCTCAGTTTTGACATTGATGAAATTCTTTTTGGCAGTTTTGATCATGGAGCTTACGTCATTTCTTAGTCTGTTTCTTTCAATTTTGAGTTCAGTCACGTGGGCCTGGAGTTCACTGCTCGTGCTTTTGGAAAGCATTGACTGACTTTTATGCTGTAAAGTCTGTTGTCTTTCACACACATTGCAGGAGTGTAGTGCTATTTTATAGCGCACCTATGACTTGTGCAGACATGCACGGTTGTGGCACGACCACCAAAACAGAAACATATGGACATAGGCCACCATATGAAAAGTGTGCAAATGTATTTAGTATCCTATCCATGTGAACATGTTTTAGGTGGGGGTGGACCTAACCTCCTTTAGGAGGGTCTGGGGGCATGCTCCCCCGGGAAGATTATTTTTAAAATATTGAAGTTAAATGCATCATTCTGGTGCAAGAGATCTATGGATACCTCTCTCAATACCCATATGAAACAGAACTGTACACAAATGTACTTTTTCTTTATGGATATTTTACTAATCACTCCCCTTTTAAACTGTATTCTTGTGTTACTGTCCTATAGTATTTCATACCCGTTTTTTTATTTATTCTCTTATTTTTTAATAACTATAATGATCATATAAAGGTGTTCCTCGCAAATACTTGTTTACTTAAATGGTGACCAAACCGTTTGAGAGTCACTGAGATAACTTACACTGAAGTGAACTATCTAAACACTGAGAGAGTCCTTACCCCACTGAGCTGAGGTTATACGATCCTCTCAGTCTGACAGGAGAGGACTCTCCTCCACCTTGGTGTAGAAACAGCTCTTTATATCCGTTAGCATAGCTAGCTAACCAGATGCTAACAACAACATTCCACGTTACCGCACGCGCACTCACAAAATGCGCTCGTGCCACACACACACAGAGCCGAGCTTGAATGAAACACAGAGACCCAGAAGTAGGCTACTTGTACTGTACTGTATATCATTTTATTTTCGATGGCTTAACTGCAGTGGTGTCAAACTCAAGGCCCGGGGTCCAAATCCGGCCCGCCACTTCATTTGATATGGCCCCACAAGAGCTTGCAAATAATATAATACGTTTATTATAAGGTCACGTGCCGCTTTACGTTGCCCATAAACTACATGTCCCACAATGCATCTAATTTTGTGAGATGCGCACTGCAATTACTTACTCGACTTCTGCTTTCAGGCGTAGTTAATTATTAAGTTATTACCCTATCCGATAATAATCCAATGCAGAGGAAATATTGTAAAATAATACATTATTTTATATATATATATTATTTATATTTATTTATGTATATTTATATAGTCTTAAAGTTACCACCGGCCCTTTGAGTGCAACCATAATTCTAATGTGGCCCGCGATGAAATTGAGTTTGACTCCCCTGCTTTACTGTATAATCAGTGTAACAGATGAACAGATCGCCACTGGGCTTTCATCTAAACACACAGCCACGTAATTATAACAAAACAAAAGTCGGGGGTCATTGGTCAAACAACACACCAATCAGAGAGCAGCAGTGAGCACACCTCAGGCTGTGTTTTATATTTGTATTCTTTATTTCTGATGTATTTCACACAAAAAAACCTTTAGTGGAAACGTTTTCACTTATATGATTGAAAAAAAAAAAAACGGCAAAGTGGCAAGGCTTGCCCATCCTGCGTTGGGGGGGGCACAGTGACTCATTTGGGGGGGAATGGGCCGCGAATGACCCCCCATGACGCCGACCCTGGATGACAACCTGATGTAAGTACAGTTACTCAAGTACTGTACCGGTACTTAAATACAATTTTGAAGTACTTGTACTTTACATGAGTATCTGTATTTTTGCTACTTTGTATGTCTACCCCACTACAATTCATAGGTTAATCGTGTACTTTTACTCCACTTAAATAAGACTTTAGTTACACCTGGACTAAATACCCAGCAGTAAATAAAATAATAAAAATGAGTTCCACGGTGTTAACCAGCTGTGACAAACATATGAATTCATTCAAAACAAATTATATGTATCATTCTAAATGGGCAAATCTGCATAATGAGTAGGCTACTTTTGATTTTGAGTGCAGGACTTTGACTTGTAACAGAGTATTCCTACTCTGGAACTTTAATTCTACTTTAAATACAACATCTGGGTACTTCTTCCTCATCTGCAACCTGCTGTGTGTGCTTTTCTGCACCCAAACAGGATTATTATGGCAAGGTGCTGAAGAAAACCTCTGACCTGAAGAGCAATGCCTGTGTGGCTCCAGCTCAGCCCATTCCTGCCTTCATCCGCCAGGCTCTGAAGAAAGTGCACCCTGAAGTCACCGCCAGGTAACCGGGCAGCTTTTGTTTCACCCTCAGTGAAGTGTTAGCAACAATCACTGATCCACAGAAGCGTACTGTTGGTGTCTCTCTTCTCCCTCAGGTACTATGGCTGTGGTCTGGTGGTGCCAGAGTGCTTGGAGGGCTGCAGGATCCTGGACCTGGGCAGCGGGAGTGGGAGGGACGTGTACATGCTGAGTGAGCTGGTAGGCGAGAAGGGCCACGTCACTGGCATTGACATGACTGAGGACCAGGTATTGTACGTTAGAAATATTTATGGTAAATCTTGTATTCTTCTTGATATACATCATTGTGTTCATTCTGTATCAATGTTTCTTGTAGCTGTATAGCATGTTTGAATACTTAGTACATTTCATTTAATTGTATAATTATAATAATGTATGTGTTTTTTTATTATAATAATAATTGTCCCTTTTTAATTTATCATTATTATTTATATTTATTTATTTTAATTGGTGAGTGTGTAATTGTTCTGTACTGCTCTTAAGTTTACGTTACATTTCAATAGCTCACACTTTTATCCAAAGCACCTCTATAGAAGCAGATCACACACTGTTGAATTTGGGGTTCAGTATCTTGCTACCAACCTACAAAAAAAAAATATATATTTCAGCTTTAAATGCAAGAGTTTTCTATTTTCTAGCTTGACGTGGCCAGGACGTATGTGGACTATCACACGAAAGAGTTTGGCTTCAAGAAGCCCAATGTGAGTTTTGTCCAGGGCTACATCGAGGCTCTAACAGAAGCGGGTCTGGAAAATAGCTCCTTTGATATCATTATGTAAGAAGTATTTCTCAACTCTCTTCCTCTGTCTTTATTTTGAATTGTAATGCTGTATACTTCTAGAAATAATGTGTTCAAATGTTTGTTTTCTGTCATAGTTCCAACTGTGTGGTGAATCTCTCTCCAGACAAGAAGCGAGTACTGGCTGAAGCCTACAGTGTGCTCAAGGTATGCTTCTCTCTCACAAAACATGAATTAAATGAAAAATAATTAGAACATTCACCTGTTGATCTTTAGGATGGTGGTGAGCTGTACTTCAGTGATGTCTACAGCAGTGGAAGATTAACAGAGGAAATAAAAAATCATAAAGTCCTCTGGGGTGCGTAACATGAATATCCTACAGCCATAAAAAGCTCACAGATAGTGGTACCATATCAAGATGTAATTTATCTTGGCAGGCGAGTGTATTGGTGGAGCGCTCTGGTGGAAGGATCTGCTGCAGTTGGCAGAAGAAGTTGGTTTCAGCCCGCCACACCTTGTTACAGCCAGCGTCATCACCGTGGACAACAAAGAGCTGCAGGACATCCTTGGTTTGATATTTTATTATATTTTATTTTTTCATAACTTTCTTTATTAAACATATTTTTTGTTATAAAGGAAAAGTGGAAAGACACATTTCCAGACTGTGATAGATTTTTAAGTAGAGAAATGTAATCTTTTAATCAAAAAGATGTGATGGTAGTTAGGATTTCTGCTATTGGTTCTATTTTATTCTTAATATGTTTCTTGTTTACTCATCTTTCTATATCACGTTGTTTAGCTGTTGAAGTAACAAGCATTCATTTTGAAACTAGACATAATTAAGGTTCTGCCAACATCATTTTACGACACAAATTCTCTTTACTGATTTAAATATTTAAATAATTTTCTCTCTAAATCAATCCTGAAAAACCCTGCTTTAGAGGCTTTCACACCCATACAGGTGTCCACTTATTCTTGCTAAGTAGACGTAGGCTCTGGTTGAAAGGGGGCAGAGAATCTAATGAGGTCACCAGACATGAACCATTAAGAGTGAAACTTGTCCCACACTAACATGTGTGTTAAGCTCTCAGTACAGTGGGGGAGATGTCAATCAAGCACAGTCTGCACACGCCCACAGAGAGGTCTAATTAGGCATACATTGGAAACACCTGTGTGGATTGTGCAGGTGTTAATAGACAGTTTCATTAGGTTTAAATGTGTTACTATGTGTCCTTACTTACCTTTAGTCCTGTGCATCTACTGTAGTAGCATTCTGGACATGTTTTCTGGTCACCGAATATCTAATTGACCACTAGTTTTCTCTTTAGAGTTTCATGTTCTTGTTATATACTTTACATTCTGTGCAGTTATGTTGACAGTGGAATTCTCTCTGGTAGCTAAATTCCAAGGAACGTGTTGTATTCAACAGAAAATATTACATTCAAATCCAACTTTAATTTGAAAAAAGAAATTGAGAAACCCAACATTGCAATTCTTAGAAATCCCATTAGCATTGAACAGCTCCAACTTTTACATTGTTTGTTGCATTGTGGAACAAACAATATAAAAAAAAGGAACAGATTCCGTATTGGGATTTTTCCATCGATTTAATACTCAAATCATCTACATGTTCTAAATATTTATAGTATCTCTATAAAGGAATTTATTCAGGTTTGCTTCATTTAGATTTACAAAACTAAGGGTAGGTGTATATTGTGCTGCAAAGCTTTGGTTAATGTTTAACTTATGTTAAATTGAGTTCTACTGAAGTTGTATCGCAAACTGTGTTTGTGAAACTGTTGTTCATTGAATATACCATACAAGACATTTTAGATTGTTCTCGATGTTGACTGATTCTGTTCTCTCTGACCTGTTCTGACAATACAGGCGACTTCAAGTTTGTCTCTGCCACATACCGCCTGTTCAAGGTCCCTAAAGGCGCCACCAAGCCCTGTCAGGTCATATATAATGGGAGCATTACAGGAGTAGAGGACAGCTTCCAGTTTGACACTCAGTTCACATTCAAGGTGTGTACATACCACAGTTACTTCAGCTCAAGCTCTGTATGCACATTTTATAAGACATGTGTGGATGTCACAGGTGGATGAAGTGGTGGAGGTTGATGGAGAAGTGGCCACCATACTGACCCATTCCAGATTCAGGGAAGATTTCACTTTCCAGCCTCAGGGAGGCCCCCGTGAGTCCTGCGGAGTCAAACCTAAGGTCAGTGTCACGACTGAATTCCAGGATATGTAAATGTCTGTATGATTGTTTTTTTGTTAAACACTAGAGGTCAGTGTGTTCGTCGTATTCGTTACAAGTGTGTGACACACCCAGAGAGCCCCTCTGTCTGAACTGTGCACACAGTCACACACACACATGTGTGCACCAGGACGCATGCTGCAAGTTCTTACACACACTCACATACGCACTCAAACATACATACGCACACATCCACACGCACAAGGTCAAGCAGCTGTCTTGGAGTCATAACCAGACTGTGGAGTCCTGCTGGGGAACATTGAACAAGAAGGAATGTTCTCTTCTCAGCTAACGGAATGCCATCTTATCAGCTCTCATGGTCGTTCTGTGCACACACACTCACATCTACAAACGCCACTATATATTTTTCAATGACTATCCTAATCCTATGATCACTTGCAACATTTTATTCTGATATTGAGGAAGTTCCATTTGGTTTTTGTGGAGCAAATAACGAAATTGAAAATGTATCATAATCTGTCCCTGGGTTCACCCTTTGGCCTGTCCCTCTGAAGTAAAATCATGTCCAAGATACTTTTCCCTTATTAGCGCGGCTAGTTGGTGATAATAGGTAATACATAGCCTTTGATCTTGTTTTTGAAAGCATTGCTAATGTGAAATGTTTATTTCACGAACAACTAGTATCTCATAAAAGAAATAGCATGTGGACACAAGAATAAAAAAACGCCTTTTTATTCTGCTATTATGAATATTTTTTAGGATGTTTGATCCTGGAATATCTGAAAAAAGTGAGAATAACCTTTTCAAGCTTTTCTATAATTCTTAGATTTGCTTTCACACCATAAATATAATACATACGTACATAAAACTGTGTGTGTGTTGTTAACTCCTACTGATTTCTACCTTGTTTTACTTTTCATACAGGCGGGCACTGTGGATCCCTTCCAGCTGGTCCTTCAGCTGGGGAAACAACAGCCAGGTTCAGCCACAGGGGGATGCTGCAGCACTCAGTCTGCCTGCTGCAAGTGATGGTGTGAAGAGCACTCAGAAATACAGCCCCATCATGATATATAGCATAATAACAAAAGCGCAAATGTCCTGACATTATGCTTCATTCGGTGCTATTATGTCGTGCCATATTAACATTTGAAATTATGACTTTAATTTATGTGAATAATAATGTTCCATAAATGAAATGACTTTGGCTTTGTATCAAGGCAAAATCAAGATGCTCACACATTCAAAACGTGTGCACAATCTTCTTATAAGGCTATCATTTTCATATTTCTTAACAATCCTAGACATCTGCATTTTCTTATACGTGTCATTGAATTCTTTTATTGGGACTTTTCCATCTTTATTATATAAAAAAGCCTTTTTCTGTAACACCTCTAATTGAATTCATTCGTTAAGGGAGTATATTGCCATAAGTGTTTTAGTGCACTGCTTTATTAATTGTTTTGTGTTATATATTTTATTATAATAAATGCTGTCAATCAATCTAATTAATAGTCATTTATTGCACTTGCCATATGATGGGATCTTTACAGCAACAGGTGGGTATGACTTAAAAAAGGCCTTCGGTACTGATCGCTGATAAATACAAACCCTCTCGGAAACTTTATAATGTAGGCAATGGTTCCCAACATAAATCTAAAAAAATAAAAGAAGAAGAAAAAAAATAGATAATATGTATCTGCTTTAAAAAATCTTTATAGTGTGAAACTTGTCAATGTGATTTTGTTCATTAAGAAAGGCTAAATTTAACCTCTTCAGGCCTCATGGAATCCTTCAAATAAAACACTTCGAATTATTTGATCCAATTGCATATAAGTCACATACACATTAGGATTTGGATGTTGCTTTTTTTTAAGTGGTCACAACTCAACAAAGTTTGGAAACTACTGGTTTAGGAGACATATCATTGCATTTTCTATTATGTGTTGAATGCATTGCAAGATCATAATATGGTCTCCCTCAAAAGTAACAATGTAGTTTAATGGGCATTTTCAATATAAATGTATCATTATAAAGTAGAATTCATTTCAATGAGGTTATATTGCATTAAATTGAGCAGTTGCTAATGTTACCGTTTTTATCTTTATTGATATGTCATTTTTTAATTGAATACGTTTTAAGTTGTATTAGTTATCTTCTGTATGTTAAAAAAAAAAGTCACCAGTAGAGTCCTGTCTGTCTCTTAACATGAGGTGCACTTGTTTTGGAATGTGATTGGCCAAGGAGGCTGCGGACGCCCCGCCTCCGGCCAAACGCCTCTCCTGATTGGTCACCTCCGTCGCCTGTCTTGGGGACATCAGGGGAGGCACGAGTTGGCCTGTAAGCCTGCGCTCGCGAGTCATCAGTGTCGGACACGTAGTGGGAACGAGCAGGTCCCGATGCACAAGTCACGGCAACCCTCGGCGGAGATGAAGGCGGACTCCGACTGGCTCTGATTTTTAAAAGCCCTTTTCATTCAGGCGGTAGGTTGCCAATGGTTATCAATATGGCAGAGCCGTCATCCCAGGCACCCACCGCTGCAAAAATGGCGTCACTTAACCGGGTCCGAGCTTTGGCGATGATTTTCTTGACTGTCACCGGCTGTTGTGTCGCCCCGACAAGTGGCAAGGAAGGGTCCGAGGAGACCGTCATCATAGGACTCCGACTGGAGGACACGGACGAAATTTCCTTCATGGATAGGGGCTACCTGCGGTTGAGTGAGCGCTCTCGGGTGAAACTAAGGGTGTACGGGCATAACATCAACAACGAGACCTGGTCCAAAATTTCTTTCACGGAACACGAGCGGAGCAGGACGGTAGGGAGTGTTGACAGCTCCTCGGGGGATAACCAGAGCCAGGAGGACTCGTCCAGCTTTCATCCCTGCGGTATTAGGACTTCGGATATAATTATATTACCCAACATCATCCTAAATCGAAAGTCGTCGGGAATAGTTGAAATTGAGGTCAAACCTCTGCGCAAGACCGAGAAGAGTAAATCGTATTACCTTTGCATCGCTACCGCGACACCGGCCGTGGGCGGGATGCACGACCCGTGGACGGAGAACACCTGGATCTACCACAACGGGGATGACACCAACGTGATAGTGGTGGAGGAGAAAAAGTTTCTGCTGCCTTTCTGGCTCCAGGTAATCGTCATCTCCATGTTGCTTTGCCTGTCAGGCATGTTCAGCGGGTTGAACCTGGGGCTCATGGCTCTGGACCCCATGGAGCTCCAGATAGTGCAGAACTGCGGCACCGAGAAGGAGAAGAATTACGCCAAAAAAATCGAGCCGGTCAGGAGCCAAGGGAATTATTTGCTATGCTCTCTTCTGCTGGGGAACGTGTTAGTGAACACCACGCTGACCATCCTGCTGGATGACATCGCCGGTTCTGGGTTGATCGCGGTGGTCATGTCCACCATTGGAATAGTGATTTTTGGAGAAATCGTTCCCCAGGCCATCTGCTCCAGACACGGCCTCGCTGTCGGGGCCAACACCATCTTCCTCACCAAGTTCTTCATGTTGCTCACCTTCCCTGCTTCCTACCCGGTGAGCAAACTCCTCGACTACCTCCTGGGTCAGGAGATAGGTACCGTGTACAACCGGGAGAAGCTTCTGGAGATGCTGCGCGTAACGGACCCCTACAACGACCTGGTGAAGGAGGAGCTGAACATCATCCAGGGCGCGCTGGAACTCAGGACTAAGACCGTGGAGGACGTGATGACGCCCCTGAGAGATTGCTTCATGATCCCCGGGGATGGCACCCTCGATTTCAACACCATGTCCGAGATCATGAAGAGTGGCTACACGCGCATCCCAGTCTTTGAGGGCGAGAAGTCCAACATAGTGGATCTGCTCTATGTCAAGGACCTGGCCTTCGTGGACCCGGATGATTGCACTCCTCTGAAAACCATCACAAAGTTTTACAGCCACCCACTGCATTTTGTGTTCAATGACACGAAGTTGGATACAATGCTGGAGGAGTTTAAAAAAGGTGAGACAACAACATAGAATGCACTATTTTCACATGTTTTATTAAATATGATTCCATATACAACTATACAAGAGAGCCTGCTTATTATGAGTTTAATCTCAAGTGAAAAAAGTCAGGGCACATCCTCCTTCCTTTGGATGAGGGAGGATAGCAGGTGAATTATTAGGGAATATAATACAATAGGAGTGCCTCATGAAAAGGTCACATTGTGCCTCATGAAAAGGTCGTATTGTTTGAGGGAATGGTAAAATTAAAAAAAACGTATCTACAGGACTTAAAGGGGTTAGAATAATGTGTGTCCCCTTTAAGATTGAACAAGAAACTTCTAGGTAGTGAAGGAAGAAAAAGTTATTTTGTCATTTCCTATCCGGCCTTGCATCACTACATTCTGAGGCAGCTGTAGTGAGGTGCACTTGCCCACAGCCTCACAGGTCATTTCCTGTAAAGGGGAGGAGGAGGTTATCTCTCTCCATCGCTTCCATTCACTGTTAATGTTCACACGGTTTCTCTCTCCTCTTGCTCTAACCTTGCCCTCTCATTCACTCTTTTTTACTCTTTCCCCTCCTTCCTTCTCTTTCTCTCTGATTAGTGAATGCATTAGGACATGTGGGAATGGTGCAACGGCAGTGCTAAGGTTATCAGGTGGGGGCATCTTGTTTGAGAACCTGCTTAAATCCCTCTCTACCTCTCTTGTGCTTGCCTCTGAATGATGGTGGCGATAACTCCTTTTGTCCAGTCCTGGAATGCAGTCGTGTGGATAATGAATAACAGCCTTTAGCACCCTCAAGTCCCCCACTCATGTGTTTTGTGTGTATGCGAATGGCGTTTAAGAAATATGTTTACCTCACCCATGGTTTACCTGATGTTTTGCATAGCCATCCCCCCTCTCTGTTGTTTTCTCTGACTCAGTTGTTCCTGGCAGCTTGTGTGCGGAATTTGGTACTTTCTTTATTCCCAGATAAGCAGCTACAGGTGTGACCAAGTGATACATGGGCACACATGTTCAGAAACTCATTTATCAATGCTTAAAATGTGGTGGAAAATGCATGATTGTTGCATTGCGTGCTCATTGGAATATTCACTTCACTTTTAAGAGGATTAATTGGGGGGAAAACAGGGCAAATCATTGAGCTCCATTACTAGAATTTAGCTGTAGCGCTCATTGCCAAATTAGCATTACATAATACGGGGGTTTATTTGTTTTCATCACAGACTATTTACAGCAAGAAACATCGATTCCCTTGACCTTGTTGATCGTTTCAGACGCAGAAAGTTCAAAAGAATATGCATGTTACAGAACCAGGGGGTGCCATGTTCCGCTGGATTATTAAAATAACCGTGTGACCGAATATGACCCCTGCAGTATCCCCTGATTCACTTTTTATATTAGTAGGCCTACAAGTGGAGTGTGCTCATCTGAGGGAGGAGATGTTACTTTGTAAATATTATTACATCATTTTGACCTGTGAGTCTGTGTGTAAGACTATTTTGGGTATGAAAAACATCAGATAGGAATGATGTAAGTATATCCCGCTACATCAACAACTTCTTAAAATACACATACATACACAACAGGTGATTAGAAGTTGTGTCATCAAATCACACACATGATGTTTTTATAATTTTTCAACAGAAATCAATACTTCTGTTATACTTCATTGCTGTTTAAGGAGCTGTCACTCGGATTTTAAACCACAACTTCCTTGGCGGAAGTAACAAAGTGCAGCAAATAACGTATGTAACTGTATTTGAAAATAGTCTTATATGTGTGGTAGATATAAAGTCCTACAATCCTGCAATGTTATAAGCTACGTTTGCAATATCAGTTTTAGAGGGAGGGACAGTTTTTTGGTCTTTTATTTAACTGATTTAGCTTGTATGCTAGTCTGACACTTGTTGAATAGTAGCCTAAATTGTCAACTGCTTCCATAGCAGTCTCAGGTGTATCTGTTTACTCATGTTGTTAATTCTGTTCTTTTCCTCCCAGTAAAACCCAAAACAGCGCATTTTGTCGGCGACATAGTTCTTCACATATGTCCAGTTTTGGTGTGTAGTGTGGCAGAGTTTTTCTGCGGCTGGCCCCTTGCCGGAGGGGATTCGCCTTCAGCCTCTCATGTAAGTCATAAGCGACTGTTGTAGGGAGGGCTGCAGGGTCAAAGTTTCCCGTCAATCTGGCTCTGTGCGCAGCGCACACTCAGTTCAAAGTGCTTTGTATTGTAAGTCATTGTTAATTAATTTGATGCCGCTTGCCGAGCTGCATAGACGTCTGAAAAAACGCTCATATTAGAGACTGTATCACAGTATTGGGTATAAACTTTGTGGCGAGGTGGTTTCAGTTTCCAGTTTTATAGGATTTACTTTCACGCTCACATTCTCAACCTAAAAACTATTCACTTTTCAATATTATACTAGTTTAAGCACTCCGAAATCAAACTGAAGCAAAGTAATCCTAAAATAATTATACATATAAGTAGTTGAACAGTATTAATGGAGCTTCAAATGTAAGATTTGCTCTACGTTTTATTGGTAATGGAAAAATGCTCACATGTTTAGGTTTTACCCGGCTTGACCCTGGTCCTAGGTTAGGGGTTACAGTCGGATTCATGCAGGAGCATTTTGATTTGAGCAGACACCCCTCTGGAAACTTCTGACCCATTCTTTAATTACTCTCCGTCTGCGATTGCAACAATTACTGTCATCCAGGGGGTTGCTTGTCAGGCTGCAGCTTTACCGGTTAATGAGTGGGTCACTGTGCACCATTTGGGAAACAAAGCAAGCAGCACCTGAGTCAGAAACAGGAATTTAGCTGCCCTTCTCACCTTCAATTATTTTTGATATTCCTGAAAGTGAAAGCTATTCACTCGCTCACATGCAACCCAACCAGCCTTGTTGGGGGGGGGGGGGGGGTGGAAGACAGGATCTACTGTATGGAGATTTGGAGAGCTAAAATCAGGTAATGTGTGTTCTGTTCTGCTGGGGAAGGCAGAGTACTTGTCTAACTTGAATTTGGGAGTCCAGACGGGGGACTGGGACTTGACCCAACAGAGGCAAGGAGAAAACACTGTCTAAAACAGTCCCCATGCTTTGCTAGCAACAAACACGCAGACACAAACTCTCAGTTCTTCTCATCTCTAAACCTGGTTTCTAAATCTATTTATAAAAGTCAAATCAAGCAATCTGATGCGCTATTAATTTAAATAGCTACTTTTAAAGCAAGCAACGATGTTTTCAAATCTGTAATCAAAAAGGTCCGCAAACACGCTATCGACCAATCAGATTGCTTGATTTGACTTGTCCGTTTTATAAATATATTTACATTTTGTCCATTACGAAACAAACTTACAAAGCTTAAAATGGAAACATTTAAGGTTAACTTCGACCTCCGGGGTGGTCTTACTATGGAGGAGTGGATTGAGGAGTGCCTATCTCCAGAAAAAAGCACCTAAACATTACATTACATTGCATTTAGCTGACGCTTTTATCCAAAGCGACTTACAATAAGTGCGTTCGACCAACAAAATACAAACTTGATGAAAACATAATCATATAAGTACATCAGGTTTCATAGAGCAAAAACATTTCAAGTGCTACTCAACTGGCTTTAGATAAGCCAGTCCTTTATTAGTATATAAGTGCTTTGTTAATAGTTCTATCGCTCGAAGTGGAGTCGAAAGAGATGAGTTTTCAGTGTGCGCCGGAACGTGTGTAAGCTATCTGCTGTCCTGATGTCAATGGGGAGCTCATTCCACCATTTTGGAGCCAGGATAGCAAACCCACGTGTTTTTGCTGATGGGAACTTGGGTCCCCTTCGCAGCGAGGGTGCAGCGAGCTGTTTGGTTGATGCAGAGCGGAGTGCACGTGCCGGGGTGTACGGTTTAACCATGTCCTGGATGTAGGAAGGGCCAGATCCATTCGCAGCATGGTACGCAAGTACCATTGTCTTGAAGTGGATTCTAGCAGTTACCGGAAGCCAGTGAAGGGAGCGGAGGAGCGGCGTGGTGTGGGAGAATTTAGGAAGGTTGAAGACCAGATGAGCCACTGCATTCTGGATGAGCTGCAGAGATCGGATGGCACATGCAGGTAGACCAGCCAGGAAGGAGTTGCAGTAGTCTAGGCGTGAGATGACGAGAGTCTGGACCAGAACCTGCATCGCTTTCTGGGTCAGCTGGGGACGTATCCTCCTGATGTTGTAAAGCGTGTATCTGCAACAGCGGGTTGTAGCAGCTATGTTTGCAGTGAAGGACAGGTTGTTATCTAGGGTCACACCCAGATTCCTTGCAGTCGGGGAAACAACAGAGGTGCCGATGTTGATTGTTAGGTCAAGAGTGGGACAATCTTTTCCCAGAAGGAAAAGCAGTTCAGTCTTGTCAAGGTTGAGCTTGAGGTGGTGAGCAGACATCCACTGAGAGATGTCAGCTAGACAAGCAGAGATGCGTGCGACGACCTGGGTCTCTGAGCGGGGAAAGGACAGAATTAATTGGGTGTCGTCAGCGTAGCAGTGGTATGAAAAACCATGCGGGCTAATGACAGATCCGAGCGAGTTTGTGTACAAGGAGATGAGGAGGGGACCAAGAACAGAGCCCTGAGGGACCCCTGTAGTTAATTGACAAGGGTCGGACTCCGACCCTCTCCAAGTAACCCTGTAGGTGCGGTCTTTGAGGTATGAGGTGATGAGGGAAAGTGCAGAGCCTGAAACTCCAAGTTCTTGGAGAGTGCGAAGGAGGATCTGATGATTCACCGTGTCGAATGCAGCAGACAGGTCCAAAAGGATGATGACAGAGGAGAGGGAGGCTGCTTTAGCTGTGTGCAGTTCCTCAGTGACAGCAAGGGGACAATATGCAGAGCTACGTGAAGAGCAGGTAGACCAACTGGAAAAGTACCACCATTCAAAAGCTTTCTGATGCGGGTCTTGAAACAAAGCAGAGAAATTATGACCGTTAGTGGCCACTGGTGCGAAAGCTCTCTCCAGAGCTACTGGAAGCCGAATCTCAGGGACCGGA